GTTCGCGAGACTACCCAAAAGGTAAGATGTGTGTGGTAGCAGAAGGTAATCAAAGCTCACCTAATTATTACACTATCCTATCTATTGCATCAGTACCCTGAAACGGTATTATCCAGTATATGTTCCAGGGAGAAATGCAGGCTCTGCCTGCCTCTTTCAAAACTTGTGTAGCTGATTAAAAATATTTACGCAGGTTTTTAGCAATAGAAGGTACTAGACCAGTCCAAGAGTGGTGTATGTTAGGTTAAAGGCACGCAGTTTTGTTTCTAGGTTGAACACAAGATCCAGATTAACCTGGCATAGTCTCAGAAGTTAACTGAGTGCTTCTGTGGCCTCTTTTCTGACTCTTCCCCCCCTTCAGGGCATTCAACATTCCTGAAGCATTTAGTGTAGGACTAACCACAAGCTGTTTACATATTTGCAGGTAAACAACAGCTGAGATGTCACAGGGGTTACTGTGCAGTTCCTCATAACAAATAAGCAGCTTTTACTGTTTTCCATTTATTCTCGTACTCAAGGATACTTTGCCTAAATGTGTTATATGCAGGCAGTGCCCTTAGTGCATAAACTGGCTTATTATTAGTCCTTTTGTTCTCGCCAGTTGCTGTGTGTTTTCAAAGTCAGTTTTTCCAGATATTTTTCCTTAAGTGACTTAAGGCTTATCTTTACTGGAGAACAGATTTCAAGATGAGATATATGCTTGAATTAATGTAGATAAAGCCCCTGTCTTGAGCTGCTATCTTGAAGAGAGACAACGGCAGCAGCATATAGCAGCTGCAGAGCTATGCTGACAAGCAGCATGCCCAGCTCCATACTTCTCTTGCAATTTTCTCTCTGGTTGTATTACTTTAAGTGGAGTTCTCCCAAGGATAGGTCACAGCACAGCTAATTTGAGACTTGGCTTTACTTTCAAGTGGTTCTGTTCTCTTTCAGATGTGCTCTTTAATGACCTAACTTGGAAATTAATCAAGCATTAAATCCAGCCTTGTGCCTGATGATGTTGTGGGAAACAGGTTTCAGGCTCCCTGGGGACTCCATAGGTTTAGCCTAGGTCACTGGATAGAGCTCAAGATGGTCAGTTCCTCCCCCAGCAGTTCCTGCCTTGTTTATCCTCCCATCCACAAGACTGTCTCTTCTTAAACTAAAGTAAACTTCAATCTTTATACTATAATCTTGTATTAATGGCTCTTTCACCTTTCTTATAGAAGAACTTCCTTTCTTACCCAGGGCCTAATAGGCACTGTAGTGCAATATTTGACAAGCCTACAGCTGATTTTTCTCCTGTTTATGTCAGCTGGATGAATTCTACTGTTGCTACTGAAGGCCTTGTAATTCTCCTTTATTAATGCCTGCCTTTCCTGAGCCACATCTTCTCTAGATAAGGAATGTGGATCGTAATTTCTCTTCACCCCCAAGTCTCTTCGAACCCATTTTGACAGAAGTTACTGCCTATGATGCAATGAGAGAGACTAAGCTTCCACATCAGAGGGAGGGGGAAGAGAGAAGAAATGCAGCAAGTGGGCTTTTACCTACATTTTGGGAAATTAAATAGGAGCATTGCAAGCTTTTCTCCTTGACCACTGACTTCCCTTTTATTGGGACATCTTTTGAAGTTAGATAAAAATAAAGGGGGGGGCACACTCCACTCCCAAGATCTTCATATTTCATGGCTTTTAGTGATGACAGATTCTTAGTCTCAGCTCTCAGAACTCCTGAGACACTGTAATTAGAAGTTACAAGAAAAGCCTTTCAAAAGTGGAAAGATCTTTGCAGAAAATCAGGCTTTCCAACCACTGTCTGCTAAATGGTTGTAAATTTACATTCTCCATAGTTATCAGTAGAACAAGAGTAAGATTTCTTGTAAGGCTTTTTGCTCGAGCATCTGAAGACAACAACAATAGAAGTTTTTATTTTCTCTGATTGCTGAGATAGATTAATTGCAAATCCACAGGCTGAGGAGAAGCAAAATAAGATGTTGTCTCCTAGGCAATGATTAAGTTAGGTTTAATGTATCAAGGTGGTTTTACTGTGCTCTTTGATTCACACTAGCTTGAATCTATCAATAAAAATGAAGTTAAGGTTATGTCTAGAAGGGTTTACCTTTTTTAGCTTCCAATTCTGATCTGGGCAAAAGTTCCATTATAAGCAAATGGGGAATTTTCCTAAGCAGAATTAAATAATTATATTCAGGCAATGTTTTCTGCATATTCAAATGAGTGAATAAGTAGAAGCTAAGGTCTACTTAGCTTCTACTAAGTCTCCAAGGTATTTTATCTGGATTTTTTCAAAAAGGAAAGAGCTTTACAAGAGCCAGGTTTATTAAATTAAATGTAAAAGTTAATGTCTTTTTCAGTTAGTGATATTATCAGATGGCCATGAGCATGTGTTCACTATTTTTTAGCATCAACTACCATTTGTCTAAACTGAGGAGGATAATTTATTAATTGATTGACTGAAGTGGAATTGAAAGCATTCACCCAAGGTTTATTTTGGACAGACCTGAAAAGCCACAATATTAATTAAATAAATAAATCTTACTTTTCTTATTCTTCCCATCCCACCCTGTATGGCTGTTGTGATGTGATGTTTGTTCAGAGATGAACAGCATCTTTTACAGTTATGTACAAGTGGTATAATAATTTCTTGGGTAATCTTTGCCTCCATGAAGGCACATGGAATGGGATCTAAACATACTCATTCACTCCATTAAAATACATAGGTAGAATGTTAGAAATCCTTCCACCTAGCTACTGGAAATGTCATACCAGCTACAAAATTAGTTATCAGTATGTTTTGAGTCCTAGGTAATTTTAACCTATTCCTGCTTTGCAGAACTACTTAGTATTCTCTTTTACAGCAAGATCACTGTGTTGCACCAGAAGCTCACAGAATTTGAAAGACAACAGGCCACTTAGAGTCATCAAAACTTACTGCAGATAGCTAAGTATTTCCCCATATTATTTTATGCTCTTAGATTTAAGGAAATTTTCTTGATGTAAATGTAATTTTAGGGGTTAGAGATGCAGTACCATATGCTTGCTCTGCTTTTGTTCTCCTGTAGTCACCCACTTCTGTTTTTCCCTGTATCCCTTATACTGTTATGAATCACTATGACTGCTATTACATTGCTTTCTTGTGTACTTGGCTTTGCTGAACAGCCTGCAACCCTCTGCTTGGGACAGTGCTTCATTTTTTTTCTCTTTGTAGGTGTCAGATATTCATATCAGTAGATTTCGGGATCCCAAACGAGCTTCTGACTTCGAAAAATTCTGTTCTGAAACAATTGGTATAATTCAACCAGCACTTGTTCTAGCAACAGGTAAGCAATTCAAAAGTGGGAATTTCCTGTTGAATGAAGGAGGAGTAAGTAAGCAAAATTCTAGGATCTCAAAAGAGAACTTTAAAGCCTTAAGGTATCTTTAAACAATGGAAATGGAATTGCAGCTGAAGAAAGACTGCTAAAAGCAGAAGATAATAACGTCTCAACTCAAGAGAATTAGGTTTTGTTCAATGCCCGAGTCTGATGATGAGTTTAGTATGTATTATGTGTAACAGACATGTGTGTAATATAGCTATTGTTTTCCAGTACTGGTTGCTACACCGTGGTCCTTGCTAGCAGCTACCTTCTTTCTTGTCCTCCTCATAGTGATTCTACGTCATTCTTTGTATTTGAAATTACAGAAGTGAGCAATGTCGCTGATTAGTCATTAAGAACCAGTTCCTCTCTCAGAACAACCCCTGCTCATTTGTATGAAATCCACCTGTGAACTAATGTTAGATTTCATTGCTGGTTTCCATTTGAACAAATCATACCAAGACAGATAAAATAAGCCTTGCCATTTCATTTGATAGCTTGCTATTGCTATTGAAATAGATTAAGGTTTGGCAAGCAAATCAAAAAGACTTTGAGCCATTACTATGTGCAGGGCTTTAGAATCTTAATGCTAGACCTGGACTTTTGTTTCTACAGAAAGTTACTTATCTGCTGCTTGCTTTTTAAGTTAAGAGTTCAGAAATAGTTAGCATTCCCCTTTTTAAGTAGCAATGCAGGGAGGCATTACTATATGAACAGAAATCGGAATGGTTCTTTAATTGGACCTTGAGAGGATACAGAAGGTATGACGCTAAACAAAGCTTCTATGACTAGAATCTTCAAGTATAATGAATGCTTAACAGTTTTCTTTACTTTGTCATGGCATCAGTAAAAGTGCTGCAGTGACATGGTTGATAGATGTTTGAACAGGCTGCTGCATCTGCATTAGAAGGCATTGACCCTTACAATAACCTCTTGGACCAGATGACAAGAATGTGCAGATTGCGCGCAGGAGGCCTCCATCCACTTGCACAGGGAGGCTTGGATTGCATGCTTGCCTAGTTACAGTATTTGTGTAAACTGTGCAGGCCTCTAGTTACATCTCACCTTTGTATACTTTCAGGTGACCTGACAGATGCCAAGACAAGAGATAAACTGGGATCTGAGCAGGTAGAAGTAGAATGGAAAACTTACCAGTTAATCTTGAAGAGATCAAGGGTTATGGAGAAAACCAAGTGGATAGACATCAAAGGGAATCATGGTAAGGAGGAATCTTTCCTGTGATTATAGAGCTGATTTAGGCAAGTTAGAATATAGAGGTAGAGTGTTAGACCTTACTAGCATGTTAGTGGTGGTTATGAGTCAGTAGAAGGGCTTGCAATCCACCTATCTGCTATACCGAGGGCACACTTTGTTTACAGGCACTTGCTGGAGTTTCAGTACCAGGGGAGTAAGAATCTTCATTTATTGCTTTTGCCTGGCAAGTGGTAGAACATGGCTTTGGATGGTAGTTTCCAGGTCATCAGTTTATATACAACATCATTTAATAGAATGGCAAAGTGTAATCTTACCCTACTGAAGAAATGGTTTTAATTTACTTTTCAGAGGCCTCCTCCCACAGGTTTAAGTTAAAATTTATCACATGTTCAGCAATTAAAAGAAATTTGTTTTATTTTTAATAGAACTCATGGAAGTTTGTACACATAGTTGTCCCTACATTCTGAGCAGTCAAACACAAGCTAACAACTTTGTAGGCTCTAGAAGCCAGCTGTTACAAGAAGCACAAAACTAGAAAACCTGGCACTGGGGAAAAAAAGAAGTCATATACAGCCCATATGACATTTAACTCCCATTTCCCTATCAGGCTTCTGTTACCAGCCTTAATGGAGAGGTGGACCCTAGTTGCAGTACAAATGTCCCCAAGTTGCTGTCTGTTTTGCACATACTGTTGTCTGATGCTGTTGCTACTTTACTTTCCTTGAATGAATTAGGTCTTACAGAGAATGCACCCAATCCAAAAAGCTTCTGAAAGGCTTTATGGCCAAAGTGAAGACACATGGTTAGCTTTTAGCCACTAAATGACAATTTACGTTCCCACAACAACTTTATCTTTTAATTTAAACTTAAATGAGAAAACTCTTCCCACTTTTAGGTCAACTGCATCAGGTATGTCATGTCTTCTCTGCACAGTTAGACAGTCTGCTTGTCAATTATGCATTTTTTAAAAAATAGCTCTTCAGTGCCTGCTGAGACTGCTTTACCTCAGCATTAGGAAATAAAATACAGAGGTCAATGATCAATTTGATCTGAAAGTTTCTTAATTTCCTTTTTCTGTCCCTTACAGATTCATTCAACATACCACACCTGGATAGTGTTCAAAATTATTACAGGTACTTTTTTAATTACTTTTATTTACTGTACAGATGCCATTATATTCAAGGTCAAACTTGCTAAACAATATTCTATTTTCAGTTATCGCATACGTGCTTTTTCACTGACTTTCCTATAGTTCAGAATCATATTTTCTATTCCTTTTGTCTTTTCCATTGCCAGTTACTAGAGCAAAATAGATTGAGAAAATAGATAATTCTTTGCATGGATGTCTTATCTCTCCATGTTGTGTAAGTTAGTATATTGTAAATCTGCCATGTCTAGGAAATGTTCTGGGTATTATGTGTTCAGTTTCCTCAGAATAGATATACTTCTGTAAAACCAGTGTTCCCAAAGAATGCTTTTCCTCCTTAAAATTGATTTAAAAAGACAAAGCAAGAGAAAACTTCACTTTTTAATGTTCTTTCTGCATGCACAAAAGGGTTTTTCATGTCATATGGGTCTAGATTTTATCTGAGCCACTTCTTCACATCTTGGTCATTTTAGAAAACTAGAAGTAGAGAAGCAAGAAGGCAGGTGATGATGATGAAGAGTGGACAAATGTTCTTGAGGAACACACTTAAGATTTAAATGTGAAGATAGGTGAGGAAATTTCCCCCTTTTCAGCTGACTCTTTTGCTTGTACATTGTAAAGATATTTTACAATATACAGTTGTGACTCATGTTTAACTTCACAGTTTCTCCTGCCCTTCACATCTGAACACAAAATCCTGTCTCATAATTTTGGTGATGCTTTCAGCTTTAACTCTTTGGAACTGGAGAAGGACTTGGAAATCTAAATTCTACTTTAATTCGGGCTCTTAAGCCATCCACTTAGCAATAAGAACACAGATTAAACATCTGATAGTTCAGTTTGCTTCAGTTCCCTGTGGCGTAGTAGGAGCAGATACATTTTCCCATAAATTCTGTGGGATAGAATCCTACAGCAGCTGCATTTGCAGGAGAACATGGAATTCATATGTGGATTTACCACGAAGGGATGAATGTATGGTGCTAACAAGGCTTTTGTATGTGCCAGTGCAGTGCACATCCCTCTATCTTTTGTGGCTGCATGACAATCTAGTATCAGTCTTCCACTCTAGTTTAAGGCTGCTATCAGAAGTGCTAGTGACACGCATGGGAAGATGTAGTACCAGTGGATTTGCTGGGTCATCCTTGAATTGTTGTTTGGCCTGTACAAGCTTACTGTTTGGAAAGATGTATGGATCACCCGCCTCTAGCCCACACTAAAGATGAGCTCATAGCTAAAAGGGTTGGAAAGAATTAGAGTGAAATTTCAAAGCAATTTAGCCAGCCTAAGAATGTCTGAGTGGAATTCTGTGTTAGATGAAAATGTCTTTGCTTATTAATTAACAGTATCTTGCTAAGAAATGTGTACTCATAATGGTTTTTGCTTCATTATAGTCTTCAATCATAGCAAAATAAAGAAACTTTAGTGCAATTTATCATACTTTCTAAGACTGGAGAAAGGCACTGAGAGTTCTCAAAAGCTATTAAGCATCACTAAAGGCAAAACTGTCTTTACAGTGACAGTTACATTAATCTGATGCATTAATAAAATATAAAGATTAAGAAATTTTTTAGTAAATGTGCCACATGCTAGGAGGAGAGAAAGGAGATGACAGAGTAAAATGGAGTTTTGTGGAAGCCTTTTCTTCTCCCCCACCTCTGTGAAGTTGAACAGTCAAAAGGAGAATGTTTGGTTTTTGGTTGGTTTGTTTTTTTTTTGTCTCAGTGACAGTAAGGCACTATCTGCTTGCCTTTAAGTGATTCCTGAACAAATAGTTCTTTGCTGTACACCTTAGAGCTCTGTAGCTTAGAGATACAAAACTAGAGAATAGGAAAAACAGTTATTCAACACCACATTCTGGTGTTCATTATGTATTAAAATTAAAGAAGGCAACAGTTGTATTGACATACAGTAATATTTCTACACTAAAACATGGGTTCCTATTTTATGTCCACAGCATGAGCAGAGGATGATTCAACTGTTACACATACTCTAAGTGGGACTAAAGGCAGAAATCTTAGGCTTCCAGTTTTCTCCTTCCAGTTTTCTCATTGAAGTTCATGATGTTCATAAAAGTAACATTAACTTCAAAAAACTAAACATTGTGAAAGGGTCTTTATGCAAAAAAACCTCTAAGTGGGACTAAAGGCAGAAATCTTAGGATTATGATACTGAGCTTCCAGTTTTCTCATTGAAGTTCATGATGTTCATAAAAGTAACATTAACTTCAAAAAACTAAACATTGTGAAAGGGTCTTTATGCAAAAAAACCCAACAAACCAAACCATTGTGAAAGGGTCTTTATGCCATTGGAGGTATTGATTTATATCTGAAACTTGTTTTTAATATATTGGCTTTTATTCTGTTCAGGTCAACCTTTCTGGCAATTTTATTGTTTATTCTGTTTGGAGGAGGAACAGCGATATGAACTGCTTTCTGGATGCCTGTGTTCAAACTGTACTCATCATCTGAACACAGGAATGTTTTCACTTCCACATATCATGCAGGGAGTTTTTTAAAAAAAAAAGGAAAACACAACCACACAGATAACAAAATACAACCCAAAAACCCAAAAGAAAACAACAAATACCCCCCCTCCCCCCAATTAAACCCACTAAGTTTCAGTTAATCTCAGATTTACTCACAATTATTTCAGTTACAGAATCTAATTCTTAATTGAGCAGTTTAGTAAGTACCATTAGTTGGAATGTTATCTGTGTTTGCCAGTGGAGGGTATGTGCAATTCCCCTCTAGCCTAAAGTATCAAAAGCACTTCAATTTTAGAAGTTAGAGAAACTGAAAATATCTGTTGTCAGCAATATATATATTCATTATCATATGTATTTATCCTAGCCAATATTAGCATAAAACCATGGGGGAACAAAAAAGGTGGAATTAGTTGTCATGTCTTTTATGTCCTTCCCTGTTTACACTTCTCTCTTAGAATATTTTAAGATTAAGATTTGAGAGCTTAATTAACATTAAGTAACATTCAAAAGAGCAGGAAACCTTTTCGCTCTCTTCTTTTACACTTTGAATGAAGAATTCTGATGACACTCTACAGATGACAGGAGAACTGGTAGGATTTGCTATGTCAAGAAACAAAAATGAGTAATAAGCAAGAAGAAATGCTGCCTTCTTTGCTATTTATAAGATTTGGTGTAATGTAGTGTCTCTGTTTTGGATCTCTTGGAAAATAACTGAAAAGGTTCCATATTTCTTTGCTTCAAAATCATATTCCATTAGCCAACAGCTAATCATTTGACATCAGAGTAACTAAAGAGACCTCTAACAAAGTAGTGGAGATAAGACTTGATGTCCCTAATATTTCTAGGTAAGCAAGGAAAAATTGTTTTTGTAAAATTCTTTCAGATACCAACAATAAAGGAGGTTTGTTTTTTTTTTTTCCTTTACAGATCTCCTTTAATTAAGAGTGATGTAAGATTCTGCTGTCCTGTCATCTTGCCTATTTGTTTTGCATCGTTTATGCTGCTAGCCTTTATCAATAAAAAAGTACCATGTTGCTCAGGGAAAGCATACTTATGCCAACTTTTTTTTTTTTTAATGTTTGTGTGCTAACCTGCTGCTTTTCTTAACACGTGACCCATATAATGCATCTTCTTTGAAGTACAGACTTTTCAATACTGTTGATTTTTAAGAAGAGGCTTTACTGCAGTAACAAGATGGAGGTAGATGTAATGCAAGAAATCTTGCACTTATACTATATGCAGGTAATTTTTGTCATTGCTGCAAGCTTTCCTAACAGCAATATGTCCATTTTATTTTGGCAGGAGATACTCTGCCTGGCGTAAAGATGGCTCTTTCCATTATATCCACACCACCTCTTTTGGGAATTACTCATTCATCTGCGTAGATGCCACACTCAGCCCAGGCCCTAAGAGACCTTATAATTTCTTCGGAATTTTAAACATGGTATTTTATAAGTCGTGGCCTTTCATTTTGCTGGCTGTTTTACTTCTGTAGTGGTTTGTTTGGGGGGTTTGTTTGTTTGTTTTGATAAATAGTTGAAAGATTTTTATTCATCTAAAAGAGTCTTTACATTTTTAAGTTATTATGTATGTGGGACATTTATTTAGAAAAATGAGTGAGTCACTTAACACATAGAGTAGCTGTGTTTTCTCTCTTAAGAAATAATCCAGTACAAAAATGTCAAATTAGACATTTTAAGGACACTGCCAATAGTTTCTCAGCATTTAACCAGACTTGAGTGATAATTTTCTTTTATACTGTAAAGTTTAAAAAAAAAAAACAAACCCCCAGACTTTCTAATTTCAATCTTTTGGCTTTGTTAGATGCTCTTTTCTTAATATTACAAATGAGAGACTTGCACTTATCAATGGACTAATATGAAAGATAATGCTATAAAGAATTGTGTCATTTGTGAAAGTGAGGTTTGATCTTGTGAGACCATAAAAATTACATGGTATTGTTTTGAAATAATAACATTAATTCCGATGTTTAAATCACATATCAGCTTAGATAACATCTTGCTTCCTTTGATTTTTCTCTCTAGTTTGTTAATAAGCTATTGTTCTTGAGATACTCTTCTGAAGTGTTGGCAGAGTTACCTTGTTCTGGTAAATAGATATCATATTTTGCCTGTGATAACAAACTCAGTGAAAAGTAAAAAGTTGTTCTCCTAATCTTGTCTAAAGGAGGCTCGATATTTAATTAAGTGTTTGTAAAGTGCTTGGTGATACTTAGATAAAAGGTGATGTAGAAGTGCCAAGTACTGTTCTCATTGTTTACTGTAATCCATAGTGGGTGCAGATTTGCAGACAAATCCTCAAGGAGCCGAGAAATGCAGTTGAGTCTAGGGCTTCCGTCCTTGGCTGCAGTAAGTGAAGCATTTGCTTGCTAATTCCCCAACAGCAGGTTTCCAGAGAGCATAATTTGCAGATTTTTGCACAAAATTGAAGGTAAAAGTAGATACCTGTAACTTTTTTAAGAATTAAAGCTCTGACAGGAATTTGAAAAATAAATTAGATTTATATCAGTGATTTGATTGCATAGCTTAGGTAAAAATATTCGTAAAGCCCAAATACATAAAGGCAAAGGAAATGTAATTTCACTTAGTAAGCCTGTTACATTAACCCAGAATGGTATTCTGAATTCATTCTTTTTTAATATACCTTTATTTCTGTTTCCTTTATTCATCCCTTCAGCATTCCTTTTCAGGTAGGAGAGAAAAGAATATGTTGGTGGTTCTCTGGGTTACCCTAAAGGATTATCTGCAAAATGGTGAAGGAGTGAATTTGTGTTCTTTTCTGGTTTTAGTTTTCCTGCCTCCTCTGTTAGACTTGGAGATCTTATAGGTATTGTGATTCTTTCCGGATAGTAAGTGGTTGATTTAATATTGGAAGTCAAACAGGTAAAGGAGAGAAATTTTACCTGCTGTGTGAAGTGTTACTTTTGCTTAACTTTAACAGCAGTGGCTGAGTAATATTTTCAAGATTCAGCATCATAGTTCATCCATTAAACGACTGAAGCATATGGCGAACAGTTTCTGTGGTTCTATGCCAATGAAAGGCCACCTAGCAACTCAAGAGATAGTAGGAATGATAATTGTAACGTAAAGGTGTTTGTAAAATCAACTCAAGTGTGTTGTCTTTGACTATGTAAGTGAGCAGTAGAAAGGATAGAAATATTGTTTACCAGAATCTTTCTTTATTGCACTTTTCCAGTGTTTCGTTGCAAGGAAGGTGTTGAGTGTGAGTGTCTTGTTTTCACTTTCTTTTTCCAACATCAGATTTTAGGGACACGTTTAGTAATAGGGCTTGTTCAGGCACAGGTCCCTGAAGCAAGTGAGAGTATTCTCTGTAAAAAAAGGATGAATTGCATTCTTCATTAGTTTTCTAATGCTTTCCTTCTGCTATTCTTTCCAAATAGCCTGAATATTAAGGAGGTTTGTTTGGTTGTTTGTCTTTCAGAATCAAATGGAAGAGCTATCTTCAATGGCAGCACAGAGTCTGCACAGCAATCATACTATCTGGTTTGGCCATTTTCCCACCTCAACGATCATCTCTCCAGCCCCAGGAATACGAACATTGATGAGGTAAGATCTTTCTTTTTTCCGTGTATGTTTTCAATCTGAAGTACATTTCCTGCCTCTCTTCACATACATGTCTGTCACTTTTCACATTTTCTGCAATGGTATTTCCTTCCCACCCAAATAATAACAATTCTTACGTTCTTTTATTAGTTCTGCCACAGCCTATTTATGTGGACATCTCCATACAATGGGTGGGCTGATGCCAGCCTTGCACAGTCAGCACCGTGGCGGCACTCTGGAACTCGAACTGGGAGACTGGATGGATAATAGGAGGTAAGTAAACTCTGTGTGAGCAAACTATTATATGGAGCCTTCTTGGTTATCCTGTGATTCCCTTTTATGCTATTTGGAGAATTTGAAAGAACCAGTATATCTCCCTAACTGGTTATTGCTATTAGTGCTTTTGAAAATGTCTCTGTGTGTAAGTTTGGGGTTTTTTTTCCCTATACCAACAGTGTACTAATAAATTATGTTAAGTAATTTTGTTATTCATTCTTGATGTTTAGAAGTTAAAAAGAGGATATCTAAATGTCCATTTAGTATGTGTTTAGTATTCAAAGTAGATGAATACATTGTAATAAAATTCAGTATCACTACTTCAAAAATACCCATGCTCTGCACCAGCTGTTAGAATTTTAGAGACAAAATAGTCTACCTGAGAAATGTTACCTTAGCAGCTTATCAAAAAGTATCTGATGCTACATGGAATGTATAGTAGTGTATTAGCTTTTATTCTGCAGTAATTCTAAGAAAGATACTTATATGCATACAGGAAGAGAGCACGTAGGGGTCTTTGTCCGTTACTAGAGTACCTACCTAGACACTGTAGTGATGTATATTATATTTGAATTCTTTAACATGTTATCTGATTGATGCAAAATTAAACAGATCTTGACATTTGGAATTTTGAGTGGTGCTTCAGTGATTTCTAATCAAATGAACCTGCCCAGAAGTAACCAGCTGTACAGTTAATACAGCAGAGCTGGTTAATACAGGATCAACTACAGAAGAGAATAATTGGAAAATAAATCAAACAAATTCTGTTTAGGAACTTGGGAAGCATGGGAATCGCTGTGCATGCAGTAGTTTGTATTAACAAATTTTTTTTCTTTCTGTTATAGGTACCGGATCCTTGCGTTTGATCACGACCTCCTTAGCTTTGCAGATCTTAACTTTGAAGAATGGCCAGTAGTTCTCATCACCAATCCCAAATCCTTCCTTTACAGCAGTTCTTCTCATGAACCACTAGTCAGAATTCTTTATTCCACTCACATCAGGTACTCTGTAATCTCTTGATTTTACAATAATTAACTATATTTTAACAGTTGGGGTCTTTCTTGGTTATAATGTACATCTATATTTATATGTATATACACAAAACCTTTTTTTTTTTTTAATGCATGTGTCTGCTGTTCTCAGAATTCACTTTTTTCTGGAATTTTGTTCCTGAGAGCTCACTTTGTATTGTATCTGTGATAAAAGGTGATTATATAGTAGTAATTCATGTTTATTTTAGTCATGCAGTTATTTCCCCTAAGTCAACTGAACTGTTTTATGTAACCAAAGCTGGTTGAGTTAGATTAACACGTAACTTGTGTTATTGATCTTGCGTATTTACATTGCCTCCATCGATTTCAGGATTTTGTCTATGTATTTTTCTAAGTGGTTTTTTTATTTGCTTTGGGCTTTTTAGCCTCTTGTGGTTTCAGTTTACATCCCTTATATCCAAACATCTTAAGCCTCTGCCAATGTCTATTTTAAATCTCTCCATCTTTCCATTTCTACCTTTTCTATTTATTTTTTTCACATTAGGAAGCATTTCTTTACCGAGAGGATGGTCAAACACTGGAACAGGCTTCTTAGAGTGGTGGTCGATGCCCCAAGGCATTTGGACAATGTCCTTAATAACATGCTTTGATCAGCCCTGAACTGATCAGGCAGTTGGACTAGATGATCATTGTAGGTCCCTTCCAAGTGAAATTATTCTATTCTATTTGTATTTCAAATTTCTGTGCCCTTTCCAACATCTTGTATTTGCTCGTAGACCAGTATGCATGAAATATACGGGTATATTGCATACACGGAATTACAATTAAAGAGGTTTGTCATACTCTTCAGTTAGAAAGCAGTGTCCTCCCAAGTCTACCTGCTTTCTAGTTTCCTATTTAGAACCTTATCTGAACATTTTTATGATTATATTAAATATATGAACTGGTAGAACCATTCACCATAACTATATGAGACTCCTTCATTTGACTGAAACGTGCTCTGGAGTGCCTTTTGAATTACCAGAAATGAAAGAAATTGGATGTGCAATATATTGAGTCTATGGTAGTATTGCTGTTTATCTGAATATAAGCACTGCCAAGTGATACGGCATTTGTTGGTTTCTCAGATCTGTAATACCAGTCTTGCGTTCCACTCCATTTCTCATAAAGTCAGTTACAAAGACTGAGAGGTTATATCCTGACTAGCAAAAAATTTTAAAAAAACTAAACCAAAACAACACAACAACAAACTTTGGAGAGAGGCTGGCCATTTTTACTGAAGACATCTACAAGTACTTGATTGTGTGTCTGTATGTGTGCAGGAGGATGCATCCCACTTTTGCTGTCAAAACATTTGGTAACACAGGTTCTAGGATTATTTCTGCCAGGACCTGAGGATCTCTGCCACCTTTTCGTCTGTTCCACAGCCCAGTTTTCTATCCTGTTCTTTTGCATGATACTATACAGAACTTCTCTTTTTAACTGTAGGAAATAAATACCATGTTACCATTAGCCTACAGATATTTCACTTTTTTAATTTCTAACTCTTTTGAACTCTTAAGTACAAGGTAGCATAATCTTTAGGGACTTCTCTTCAGGAAGTAATGACAAATCTGCCAGTCCTGCAACAAATCTGTTTATTTTGCTGTTTATTCACTCCTTAGAATTCTGGCCTTCTCTCCTTCTGTCATTACTTCTGTCAAAGTCTATATAGACCGAGTTCACTTGGGGAATGCACATCAAGTGTCTGGCCCTCTCTATGTACTGAAGTGGAGCCCACAAAACTACAGTGAAGGGTTCCATCACATAGATGTGACTGTCCAGGTAAGGTACCTTTTGGCATTCTTTGTATTGAATTTTTACTGTCGTGTCTGCTCCCTCACCCTTCATACCACATAATTAAAGACAAAATACATGGTAACAGACTTCCTTTCATATTTTTCTAATTACAAAAAAGAAAGGATTTATTAAATGAAAAAACACTGACTGCTGAGCACTAAAACATTCCTAAAGCATCTGGGCAGAAGAAAGGATTCTTATTTTTCATAAGAAATATAATGAGACATGAGGGAATAGCAAGTAGTTGGTCAAAAAGAAATTGAGTAACCAGCAACATTTAACTTTTAAAGTTGTCTTGAAAAAAAAAAATTGGGCTTGATCAAGGACAACAAGAAGTAGCATCAGTTAGTTCAGTAGGCAAAGGAACTGGATATGGAAGATTGGAACGCTGTCTTTGATTATATTAAGTTCTTTTCATGATCTCTTACAGGCTGACAGTGAATATAGTTTTTGTTTCGCAGAACATCAGACAACTGATATTAGATTACTGGGTGAAAAAATGTTTTTCAGTGAATGCTTCTGTTCTTGGTACTATATGTTATTTTTGTACCTTCAAGTGTACCTTCAGTTACAATTCTTGTACTTGAAGAACTCGATCAGACTGTTCTAACATTCTGCACACTTGCACAATAGTAATGGGAAAGTCAGCTTTGTCCTGCTAGGTGGAACCCAGCTAGGCATTATTTCTCACAGGACAAGAGCGATACTGCTTTTTGTTTCTAATGGCGTTTCTGTACTGCCAGTGTTCTACCTCCTCACTTGCTCCCAAGTTCTGTGATGCTTTACTTGAGAAAACTGCATTTTATAAGTGGTTTGGGGTTTTTTTGTTGTTTGGGTTTTTTTTAAATGATGATGCAAACATATGCACAAAACTGAGTAACATTTGAAGAGGGTTATACAAGCTTACATAGCAATAGTTTGCTTGCAAATACATGCTTGTTATCAGATAACTGAATGGGATTTTAAAAAAAAAAAAAATGATTTCCTTTCCCCTCCAGTCATATCATTATTACATCTAGTAAATGAATAGTTTTGGGAAAGCGAGGAGGTTGAAGCATTAACTTTTAGGTTAGATACCCGGAGAAAATATGAATACTAAATTGCTGTACATTGTTTCTGGAACTGTCCAAATATTGTCTGAGCTGTAGTCACACTAAACATACTGAATCCTTTACTATAAATAAGCCATTTATTATGTACCAGAAGATAAGATGTCAGTGTTACACAGACAGAAACATCAAACCGTTGAATAACAGTCTAGCAAATACACCAGAAAGAAGCACAGCAAAGCCTCAAAATATTTTAAGATGGGTTATTATCTAGAATTGAGAAAAAAGTGATGGTGGTAGTCAGTAAATAGTCACTGTCTTCCAAAAGCTGCTGAATCTCTGACAGGATCTTCTTCATATGTAGCACTTTCAGAGTATGATTTTACAATCCCAATTTACTTGAAACTACAAAATTTACAGTAAGTAGTACTTTGTCGGTAGAAGTACTTAATGCAACAGTATGCCAGACATGCATGCATCAATTGGATCTTTCCAGAAAAGTTGCAATGATAATTGCAACTTTAACTAGATATTTTGTGTGCTACTGGTACCTAATTGCTCTCTTATTTCATATCAATCTAGGATGCTTCAGGAAGAATTAGGATGTGGGGCCATATATTTGCTATGGAAGAAAACCTCTCTCTTAGATTTGGCTTTTGGCCATCTGTTATTCTTCTCACTGACCACTATGTTCTAGTAAGTACTTCCGTCAAAACAGCTGTCACTCTGTGTTGGCTTCCCCCAAGACTACAGGAGGTATGTTCCTAATTCCTGGTAGATTTGAAGGCACTTTGGTTTTTCCGGATATGACTCCATTGGAATTTCACAAATATTTCAAGTTTGCTTTCTCAAGTTGCATGCTTCAAACGTGAATGTGCAGCAGTGGTTCCTGCAAACAGTTGACTTCCTGGATTTAGTAAGTTTTCCATTTTTGGGCACAGGTATACACACATTTTGTGCAAGCGAGAAATGGAAAAGAAGCTACTGGAGATAGTAGAAAAAGGAAACATTAAATCAAAGAAAACTTCACTGTGAGCCGTTGCAACGTGTGTACTGGCAAGAATGTGGGAGAAAGTCTCAGATCAGCTGCTGACGTTATAGCTAGCTCCAGCAAAGAGGAAGGCAAAGTTCCCATTGACTTCAGTGAAGTTCCAGGTCGTATCCAGGAATGTTACAGCTCAGTATGTGCAAAGAAGGCATGTCCATAATAGTTTAGGTGCACTTATAGAACAGCATAGGAAAATCCACATAACCATATCATAATTACTTCAAAATTATTACATTAGTTTTGTTAATCAGTAACCAGTATTCTCCACAATGTCTTGAACTGCAATTCTATTCAGTACAGCGCTAGGAAAATGTTTTCCATTGGAAATGTATTTACAGTTTTTCAATTTGTGTTTTACAAACCCCATTTTTGAAAGATGCAGGTCCATTACTTTCAGCCAGCCAACTGAATTCAAGTCAGTAAGATGCAAGTCTGGTAACTTAGAAACTCAGAAACTCTTTAAGTTTCTTTTTAGTAATAGGTTCAGTGACACAATCAAGTTTTGAATATGTGTTTCAGTTAGAAATCTTTGTATCATTCTATCAATGCCCATAGGGTGTGCTCAAAGGCGGGTGTGCTCCAGGGCTGGCTTAGAGTTAAAACTGTCTTTTCAGGCGCGTGTGCTCTTTGGACTGATGGTGCTGATTCAGATCACCTTGCTCGTTATTTTCAGACACCTCCAAAAGCCAGCACTCAAAGGTACGAACCAATGTTTGTCTAAGGTTTTTAGAGGATCTAATTTTCCCTAAACTTTTTTTACTATTTATCTGTATGCTAACAATACATAAGTAATTGCGCTGTTGATCACCATGTAAATTTTGCATCTAGTAGTGTGGGGTTTTAGTGAGTTCTGAGAAGCTGCTGTTTTGCTTTTAAGGGAACCCAGAAAACCTGCAATATATCAAATAAAGTAAATTTAAAAACTAAAATCTTGATCAGTTATCTTTTGTTTAAACTAAAATTAAATTAATTTAAGTCTAAAGGTTTTATTTTAATTTTCTCACTGAAGACTTCAATGCATAGGGAAAGGAATGTTTTTATTTTGTAATAGTTCTGTATGTATGCTTGTTTCACTACAACTGGCACAGAATTCTCTGTCACCTGAGTGGAGAAACAGATTCCCTTCTAGAAAAATGATTGTTGTTAATCTTTGCAAAGAACATGAACAGGCTTGGGTTTTTCTCAAAATAAAATTAAGACCAGTTCTGTCATAATTTTTTATTTTGTTTGTGATAAATCTGGTAAATGAAAATTAATGCTGTTAAGCTCATGGTGTTTATTCTTTAAACACTTGTTTGAACCACACCTTACTAATGAGATTTTTGTGGAAGTCACCTCCCTTCCTATTCATGTCAGCGTATGGCCCTTTCTTTGATAGTCATAATCCGTCCTGAGGTAACTACAGCAACTGCTTACATGGCGTAAGAATAGATTTTCAGTTGCCTTTATGGAACTTGGCAGCTAAAAATGAAGAGCTAGCACTCTGATCAGCTAGGTCCCTGTAAATCATGACAAATGTCTTACAAATTAGTGAAGAAATTTGTTAGAGCTGTTGATTTCCAAAGGTCAAGCTTGCTGGGAGTTAATGCTTTGTGAGAAGGGCAGCCACCTAATAGGTGAAACTCTGAAAACTTTTATAGGAAAGCTCTCTCGATCTGCTTCACTTAGAAAAAATGAATGTTGCTTTTATTTTTTTGCTAATATCACACACTTGTCAGAATGCTGCCATTTTAACACCTTCATTTTATCTGAGTTACTATCACCAAGTAGATTTAATCAAAGAAAATCCACTTAATCTAGTCTTGCTGACATGCCTTTTTGGGTTTGCACAGTTACTGTTTTGAATCTCTTCATTTAATATGAACTTCCTCCATGTTTTTAATTCTAGCTAACTTCATTTTCTGGGTATAGAATGGTCATTCAGTTTTACTGACATACAGTAAGTGTACTTAGTTAGAATGGCAGCTTCTGCTGCTGTTCTTAACACAGATTGTTGTATTTATTGGTTCCTTGCTTTCAATTAATAGTAGAAATGCATTCCCTTGCATTTGTTCTGTAGGCATACCAAATATTATTTTTTTTATATTTCTTATTTAATAGAATCAGTCAATATGTGCAGATTTGTTTCAGAAAGACCAATATATTTTTATATATTTATATATATGTATGTGTGTTGCAGCTTGAATCAAGTGTATTTTTCTTAAATATTTTTTCTGTTTAGAAAAGCCAGGATTACTTACTCTGACCTCGTATTCCCTTCATGTCTTCAGTAAAACAAACACCTTCTATTACTCGATTCTGGTTCTGAATTTATATACCATTCTGGGTAAGTTAACTAGAATACTGGAGGACATGAATTAGTATTTTAAAATTACACATCAGATCCTGATGAAAAATGAGACTTCTAGCATCTTGGAGAACAGGGAAAAATCTATTTAAGCTATAAGAATCTTTGGAACTTGAAAAGTTAATGTCCAAAAAACCTAAAGGTTTGTTTGTAAGAGCCTAACTTAGAAGCCCTAGAATTAATTAAACAAATTATTAAATTACTCTGAAAGCAAAGTGAATATTTTTAGATTTAATTTGGTTTTCACTTATTCTTTGAGTAAGATCTGGTTGTACCTTGGTGTAAGATGAGTACATGGAATGTACATTTCACATGACGTGTCACTAAGACATCTCTGCTCTGATGCCAATGGTTTTAGCTTATTTCTACTCTGATAATATGTTACTAAAATAGCTGCTTTCTTGGCAGTCAGTGTAGTATGCATAACATAGTGTAGCTGGCCTGCCCGTTTTGACTTCTAAGCTGAGCCAAGCTGGAATTGTTTATGACCGTGTCTTTCATATGTCTTACTGTAATTGTGGGAAAAGGCCAGCATTTGAAAGGATCTATCTTTTCACTTCTCTCATAAGGAAAATGTTCTGTGTGGTGTTGAAAATTGTCACAGAGATTAAATCAACTTAAAAGTATTTTCATTGCATGCCACAACTCATTGGTGTACCATGATATCTTCACATCAGGAGTGTTCATCAGATTGCTGTTTGTTGAAGATTAAAACATTAGGCTTATTACTACAGACAAGCAATAGAAAAGTTGCTTTCCCCATTTAACCATTTTTGCTCAGGTGTACAAAGGGCCATGTCCATACTGTATTTTCTGATGGTGCTGTATGTTTGGTTTCCTCTCTTTCAGGACCATGGTTTGTAGGTGAACTGATAGATGGCCAGGTGGGAGCCTGTTTTTCCTTTGGGGTGTTCATTGGTGGCTCCTTCTTTCAGGGCGGTCTGACATTTGTGGTTGGGATTTTACAGGTTTGTATTTATAAAAATTAAGGCTGACAAACTGCCTTCTTCTGGGAATTTTTTCTCTTTTTTTTTTTTTCCTAATAGTTTTTAAAGAAAGTGGTCTTGGAAGGATAGAGATTAGTGGCCATGCTTGACTACAAGAGCTCTTTCCTACCTTTCTGCAAATTTAAAGGGCAGAAAATGAGGTTGTGCCTTATTTTTCTCAAACTTCTGGTTTCCTCTATTTGATGTTGCTTTGGACTCCCTGGATGTCTGGATTAGGGATAAATAATCTACAGATTTACCACCCAGATATTTTTTTTTTTATTTATTTTTTTTTTTTTTTTTTGTCCTCAGCTCATGTGCAGGTCGCAGTGATTAAGTGAAAGGAACTCGATGGCTAGGGCAGCCCTTTGCACACTGAATAACCCTTCAGATCAGTAGGTGTCACTCTCCAAGTCCCGTTTTCCCAGCAGTCTGACCTGGTTGCCCTCTTGGTATTCCCAGCTGCCATTAGTCTGAGAGGGTGCAGCTCCTTAGTGTTTAAGCCAGACCAAGATAGTGTTCCCTCCTTCATGGTCCCTCCGTTATCCATTATGTCAGTGCTAACACCTGTGTGACACTGCAGTGGGCTGGATCGGAGCTAACCTGACAGAAGGACCTTCCTTTTTCACTGTGCTAGTATGTTGGCAAGTGTAGCTCCCTGAACCAGCTCCAAGAAAGGTCAGATGCGTGTCAGTGCCTCCCGCTGCAAGGGAGCGGGCAGGAATG